ATGCGGCCGGTGTAGGCGCTTTGTGGGACCTCCTTTTGTCCTGGCTGGGCCCCGCCGGCTAGGGCCCTTTCTTCTGGCGCTCTTCTTGCTTCGCCGGCTCGTCTGTGTAAACCCCGGGGGTAGTGTCATGTTTATGTGTGGTATGGTTGGGTAGGGTAGTGCGGCTATGCAGCCTGGGATGCGCTTTGCTAAGGTGGCCCTTAGGCTAGCGNTACGCATGATCTTAAAAGTAATTATAATTATTAGAAAAAGTAATTGTAATTGGAAAAAGTATTTGTACTTATAGAAGTAATTTGTAATTCGATAGTTCAAATAATGTAATTACAAATTACAATTCCTATAACAATTTTGCTGCAATTACAATTCCAAATTACTTTAATAAAAAAAAGTACTTAAATACAATTACAATTACAGGAAAAAAAGGGAATTGTAATTGCTAATTACTTTTTCACCAGGAATTACCCAGCTCTGTCAACTACAAACGATTTTCTATAGGCATCAACCATCAGATTTAAGTTCGGCCAAATTGGGGCGATGTGTTTTTTTTATAGGCCATATTTTTTTTTTCTTGAGCTACTACAAACGAAAATATTGTTACTACAAACAACTACAAACGAATATTTATAAGAATTTCAAAAAAAATTTTGAATGTTGATAAGTCGGGTGCCAGGTTCACATAGGTCTACTGCGAGTATGTTGTATCACCTATATAGATCGAGAAACCGAATTCCTTACTTTGTCTGCTATTTCTTCAATAATAACGAGACCAATAGATTGTTAGCATGTATATGTGAACAAATAGAAAATATTTCCCTGAATTATCACGTCACCAATGCTTTTGTCGTGAACTATAAAGTGTATATTTATCATTTACCTGCAAGGAACTTATTTATGTACAGGATGTTGAACTTTTTTCAAATAAATCGTTTTTTCGTAAAAATCTTAATAATCCTTTAGCCGATTTTGTTGAAATTTGGCGGTGCTGTTTATGGTAGAAAGAGACTAATTTAGTTCTAACTAAATTAAAATTAAGTCCAGTGGCGTCCCCGGGGAGCACCTTAACCAATATTTTTGACAAAAAAAAATGTGCGTCACTGACTTTTTCAAAACTTTTATAATTTTTTTCGCATTAAGCAACCAAACATACAACTTATTTGTCTCTTGAATTTTTTTTCGTATCTTGCTTCCTTTTTGGAGAAAAAATAAATAAAAACCACTTTATTGCATGTCCACGAACAACATAAACACATTTTTTTTTCTAGAATTAATTTTTATAACAATTTCTAAGACTAGAACAGACTATTGATTTGGAAAAAAATAACAGGTATACTTACCCCTGTTTTTGATGGTGAGGTAGTTTTAATTTTTTATTATATGTTGTCCCAAAGACATGCAATAAAGTCATTTTTAATTTTTTTCCATTTATGCTACTTCTTTTGAAAACACCCTAAGTGTACATAATTCTTTACTTTTAAAGTATGTATATTAATTTTGCTAATATGTATATTCAGCGACACCACCACACTATTTCTACGCCACTGATCAATTGCTGGATGGAAGTAAATCTTACACTTCGTGTACAATCAATTATGACCGACTCGTAAGGTCTGGGGGTCAATGAAAGACGTTACTCACTCGTGCTTCTTTCTGTATCGTTTTTGCGTTTTGTATGCATGGGTAGTTGGAGGAAGGACTACCCACCTCGCATACAGATGAAGCCGGGCGGAGTTGAATGGTTGTAAAATTGCCTGATAAATTATTTAACACTGAATATAAATAAATACCAGTTTTATTTGTGAGTTTGTCATTTCACACATTTTTTGCTTGCCGAGATACAGACGAAATATAAATAGAATGAATTGCATTGCAAAATCAGGTGCTGATTTCGAAATTATCTAAATCCACCAATAATAATTATTTAAAATCTGGTGAATTTTAATTGAATCAAATAGATTTTGACAATGTAGCGACATCTGTAATCTGAAATTGGATTTCGGGCTAATTTTAGCACGTTGAGAACGCGTTGACATTAAATTGTCCCTCTGGTGGACAGTTTTTTAATTAGAGAGTTGGACAGTTTTCTCATAGATGTCAGCACATTAGTCTTTCGAAATTGGATCTCGAGCAAATAAAATACAGATTATCAGACCATTAAAATTATCTTATCAAAAAAGTTCTCTCGTTATATTTCGATATAGTAAATATTGTAAGGAAAAATGTACTTGTTACGAGTAGTTCAAATGTACCGATGTTGCAGAATAAACAAAGCATTTTAACATGAAAGAAAATCGTTTTATACAATTGTAAGCATTAAAATCTGCCACGTATTCTATAATTATGACATTGAGTACCTAATTATAAAACTTATCGAATTTTGAAAATAATTTATAAAAATTTAAATGGAAAATAGCGCGAAATACTATGGCATGGCATTGAATGAGCTTTTCTTATCACCTTTTTAACAATGTATACATTTCAATTAGGTATTAAATTATTTATTTTTTTAATAACTAACCAAATTGATTAGATTAGTTATCGATATGGAACAGGAGAAACCATTCATAAGATTCTTTAGCGACTATTTATGAAATCAATTTTTTTTTTAATTAAACAATCTGACATTAGACTATTACACATTTTATAAAAAGGTTTTCTTGTTCAAGTCTATACATTAACCACTTAAAAAAAAATAGCAAATCCATTATATTTGTTAAAAGTAGTTCAAATGTATTGATTTTGCAGTACGAAGAAAGTAGGATTAGATCATAGAAAACTGTTTTATACAATTGTAAGCATTCAAATCTGCCACGTAATCTTTAATTATTGCATTGAGTACCTAATTATAAAACTTATTGAATTTTCAGAATAATAATTTATCCAAATTTAAATGGAAACAATAAAAATTGGTTGTTTGAAAAAGTAGTAGTCAGAATTATATATTGTAATTCATATTCCAAGAGTGTTTAATTCAAAATGAGCTCGGAAAGTGAAGACGAGCATTTACCAGGGGAAGTATTGGGAGCGGCACAAAATGCTGTCCCCAAAAAATCGTCGAGACAGTACGAGATTGCCTACAACGAATTCGAAGGATGATGTAGTTCGAAGAAACTTCAAAAAGTGTTCGAAGCGGTATTACTGGCATATTTTGAACATAAAATTAATAAAATTAGACCTTCGACGTTATGGTCAGTATATTTCATGTTAAAAAAGTACAGTGAATGCAAAAAAAATGTAAGTATCAGAAAATTTCCAAAAGTAATACCATATTTGTAAGGCAAATCAGCTGGATACCGTCCGAAAAAGTACAGAATTCTAACGAAAGAGGAAATTGAAAGATTTTTTCAAGAACAAGATTTCTGCTAGAAAAGCAAGGTTGGCAAATATCATGATATTTATATAAATATCAAATATATATCTTGACATATATCCGATATATATCAAGTCTTGATATTTATTTTTTTTTAATTAATTAGTTTATGTATAATATTATAGTAGCGAAATAAAATTAAGAAACTATTTAGGTAAATATTTTTATTCCAAATATCAAAAACAAGAACGAAAAAATAAATATAAATTCTGAAACTAATAAAAAATATTTACGTGAATATTAGGTACATATTACGAAAACTAACCAATTTACACCGTCAACATAAATTTCATAAATGTTAAAATAAATACAAACACACCTGCTCGAATTGACTGACACCTGGAGAAATAATGAAATAAAAATATTCATTCAATTTTAGTTTGTTGAATAATTCGGGGAATCACATAAATAACACGTTTGTCAACGATTAGTATATGGTTTTGTTGCCATCTGTTAACAGTTTTAGCAACTTTAAACCAGTACGAATCATTATTTAAATTTTTATAAATATCATGATATATATATATCTAGGAATAAATATCGTGATATATATCAATGATATATATCGTATATATATCATGCCAACCTTGTAGAAAAGGTAATTCAAATATAAATCAATCGATTTAACTAATTTTGGACAACTTTTCACGTCATTTTAATAATTGGTGTTTGTGGAACTGAACGATCGATGATATAGAAGACAAAAATTCAATAATTATTACAAGAATTCCCGATTCTAATACTCGTACTCCGAGATGGTTGGAACGGAACTTGCCAATAATTCAACGTGCACAGTAAACTTAAACAATTACAGCAGCAGCCTCATTGAACACCCAGAACTAAAAGCTACGATAACTGACAGCACTGGATCTGGCATAAATTTAACTCCCTGCAATATCGGCACTTTCAGTTTACATGTAGTGCAAAATAAATTGTAATTAGTTAAAACTCACTTTGTTAACAGATAATTTAATGAAAATGTTGACTTTTGATGACGGTTTTTGAAAAATGTGTTTTTGTTAAAAGTAGTTCAAATGTACCTATTTTGTACTTTGAACAAAATGGGATTTGAACATAAAAGAAACTGTTTTATACACTCACAAGTATTAAAATTTGTCAAATCACCTTTAATTATTATTAATTTATAAAATGTGTCACGTTTAAGGATTATTTATCGGGATGTAAACGGAAAACACAGCCGTGCAATACCATCGAAAGGAATTGAACGAGTTCTTTGCAGAAACAGTTAAGGTTATTGATTTGGAAGAAGGAAACCTTTGCAGACAACAATTTTAATTAATTTTCTTCAATTTAAAAATTTTTGAAATTTTTTTTTGAATTTTCTAGTCGATAGGAGCCATTTACGCCCTTTATCCCGTCACAATTTCAATGACTTCTATATTCTTATGTACAGTGTGTTACCGATAAGTATCAAATTTCAAAAAAATCAATATAACTCAAAAAACAAAAAAAAATAAAAAAATAAATAAATAACTAAAATTATGTAATTTCATTAATATCGGGAATGATACTTACCTTTATTTTTGAGCGTAGAGAACCCTTTTAAATTTTTTTCTACTACTGCAAAAAAATTTGGACGTTTTTACTCGATCTGTAAAAGAAAACAATCGAAAAATTCTTAAACGTCTTTATTGAAGCCCACTTCATACAAAATATACACGGAATCCCAATGCCACTGCAGTAATACTGTCCAAAAAAACAAAAAGAATCCCAAAAAAAAACTAAAAATGTACAACATCCGATCCCTATTCCATCAAAATCTCCTCGATCGTCTTATCGTCCCGTAACGGGCTCTGCGCCAGACTCGGTTCGCTCTCCAAGAACTGCCTCAACTCCGACTCCAAATCGATATTGGACACCTCGGGAGGATTCACCTCCGGCATGGGCAACCCGAGAGCCTTCCTTATACCCGGAACGGGCGCGATATCCCCCGGATTCACCCGTCTGGCTATGTCCGACAGGTTTTCCGTGATGTTCTCCGCTATCTGCGTCTCCTCCTCGGAGGGTTGGGGGCAGTTGTTGAGCTGGGGCGGTAACGGCGCCGACAGGCGTTGGTACTGAGTCTGCTGCAGTTTCTCCAGCAGCTGGCACATGCTGTCGAGGCGTTGCTGGAGCTCGTGGCGCTCCTCCGACATGCGGATCTCGTCCTCCATGTTGTCCAGGAAGTTGACGTCGATGCCGAACTCTGAAACGGTCAAATTCGTTTCGGTTTTAACTTACTCAGTGTTTCGAAATGTTGGAGGTGAATTTTTACAAGTATAAATGAGAATAATGGGTCAATTCTGCGATTTTCTGAAAATTTATAATTCTATAAACTACGATTAACCTGTAAGTCATTAGTCCAGTCGGTATGTGTTTTAAAAGTATGGATTTTTCTTATAGTAACGCTAATTTTTTTTGGAAATAGTTCTAAATATTATGTAGAATGATAATTACGATCTGCGCCCGAAAATGTAAAAAAGAAATTTAAAAAGACGCATTTTTCTCCCTTCTTTCATGTATAACTCGGAGCATATTGACATTAGAGAAAATAGTCACAGGAAAAGTTTCATTTTGAGATTCTCTTCAAAATAAAAGTGGTCCGAAATTTTTACATGCATTATTGTTACTGCAATACAGTGTAGAAAGAAAAAAAATTGTGAAATAATATCGTTTTTTCATGAATTTATTTCGGACCTTGACTTTAGAGCAGCCATATAAAAAGTATGGTTTTGAGTACTTCGTGATATGGTAGTACTGCAGAAATTTTTTCATCGAAATCGGCCGGATAGATTTCACACAATTCAATTGTTAATGTAAAATACAAAATTATACTTATTTTTCAATTCTCTCTCACAATAAAACCAATGATTATAACGAGCGTTCAAATAAAAACGTGGTCGAAGTTGGCTCTGACACATTGGACGTAGGGAGTAGCTTATAGCGACCAACTTAACCTCATTTCTCAACGAGCTGTATAGCAGCTGTCAGTTTCAATAACGTTAATGACTATATAACTTTATTTTAAAGAATAATCGTGATAACAATAACAAACAATTAAAGGAGCTGCGGAAAGTGTCCCCCTCCTTGTTATAACAATAAATTAAAGCAGCTGCTGAAAGTGTCCCCCTCCTTGTTCCAAGCACTTTTCACACCTGTTCCTCAAAGAATTAAAGACATTTTCTAAGATGCTCGGGGTATTGTTAATTTCACGAATCTTGTCTATAAGTCGAGCCTGCAGATGGTTTAAATCAGGAATAGGCAGTTCAAAAATAGTGTTTTTAAGGTAAGGCCACAAAAAGAAATCACACGGCGTAATATCACATGACCTCGGTGGAAATTCATGTTCAGCATTGAGACTTATTAGTCGATTTTGGAAAACTTCCCTCAACATATTCATCGTCTCGCCTGCCGTATGTGCCCTTGCGCCATCTTGTTGAAAGTAAAAGTTTGTAATTTCGTTTTCTTCCAGCTGGTTAACAAAAGGAGCGATAATTTCTTCTCTATACCTTTGCGCAGTAAGAGTACCATTAAAAAAAATAGGTCCATAAATCCTCCTTCGATTGAGAGCACACCAAACTCCAATTTTTTGAGCGTGTAGAGGGCCCTCGACAAAAAAGTTATCTGGTTTTTCAGAAGACCACATTCTCATATTCTGTGAGTTTACGTAACCACTTAAATGAAACCAGGCTTCATCAGAAAAAAAGGTGATATTATGAAGTTCACCGTAGTTGTTTAAAAACCATTCACAAAATACAGCCCGTCGCGGAAAATCAACTTCATGAAGTTCTTGCTGACAAGTTAAACGATAGGAGAACAAACGCAAATCTTTTTTTAACACTGTGTGGCAGGTACCGACTGATACTCCCACCATTTGTGATAAAACACGTACAGAAGTTCTTGGCGCATTTTCCATTATTTGTTGGACATTTTCTTTTAATTCTTCAGTCCGCTTTTTAGGTCGGCCGCTTCCTTCTTTTCTTGTTACACTGCCCGTTTCACGAAAAACATTAACACAACGCTGAACTGCACTTTGAAAAATTTTGTACTCAACAACGCCGGGAAATTGATTTTGAAATTCTATGAAACATTCCTCAATAGAATACTTCCATATTCCATCAATCTTGCGTCCATTTCTAAAGTAGGACTCTATGATAAACACTTTTTGTTCTTGAGAAAACACCATTTTAAACGCTTTTTAAAACGAAAATATTCAAATTGATAGCGGCGATATAGCGCTTTGACAGATGACGTTTAAGTTCATTTGCTATACGCTACGCCCTACGTCCAAATTTTCAGAACCAACTTGACCACGTTTTTATTTGAACGCTCGTTACATACCCTTTGCAGTCTCAACTATCAATCCCTATTTTAGCAACAATTAGAATTTTTTCAAAATTTCTTCGAAAAAATATTTATAAACTTTTAGAGCTGGAGGTACCGTATTTGCATATTCTTCAAATGTAATTATAGGATCAAATAGAGGAAGGATTGAAGAACAAAATGCATTTTTGATCTTATGGATACGATGGATCGTCATCGAGATATGAAAGTTCAATCAAAAGTGATTTTGATTGTTTGACGCAAAGACTTTATAACTATGAAAATTTGTTTAAATCGGAAATGTATTTTAACCGTTTTGATGCAAAAAAGATTGATACATTTCACGGGAATCGAACAGTCAGAACGAGGAGTGGGGGGACTATGCGTGTGGAGCAACATAACTCGCATAAGTTCAATCTACATTTTCTCAGCCTCTGCAACTGATAAATAGATAATTTTTTTTTAATCGATCGAAAGCAAGGTCTATTCGAATTTTACAATGTCGAATCAAAAAGTCAAATCAAAAGCTCAAATTTATATGCAATGTAAAGGACATATTAATTTTGAAATTTAAAAAAAATACAAAAAAGCCTCTATTTTTCAAAAACTACATAGTTTTCATTCATTCTTTCTAAATTCTTAAATACAATTGTTCAATTTTACAATGTCAATCCAAAAAAATCTTCAAAATAAATGCTAATCTTGAAATGAGCAATTGTATTTAAGATTTTATCTCAATGAAAACTATGTAGTTTTTGAAAAATAGACGCTTTTTTGCATTTTTTTTTTATTTCAAAATTAATATGATCTTTATATTGCATATAAATTTAAACTGAAAGATTTTTTGAATTGACATTATAAAATTCGAATAAATCTTGCTTCCCTCTATCAATTAAAAAAAAAATCATCTTTTTATCTGTTGTAGAAGCTAAGAAAAACTCGATTGAAGTTGTTTGAGTGAATTATGCTGCTCAGTTTGCATAGTCCCTCCACTCCACACTCTTTTACTCTCTGTTCGATTCCTGTGAAATGTATCAATCTTTTTTGCATCAAACCGGTTAAAATACATTTCTGATTTAAACAAATTTTCATAGTCTTTGAGTCAAACAATCAAAATCACTTTTGATTGTTATTGTACGGTACGTTGTTTTGCCGTAAACTCACTTCAACTTTGAGCTTTCATATTTCGATGACGATTCATTGTATCCACAAGATCAAAAGTGGATTTTGTCTGTCAATTCGATTGATAGTTGAGACTCCAAAGGGTATGTATAAAAATTGGGAGCTTAAAATAATCATTGGTTTTACCGTGAGAGAGAATTGAAAAATAGGTATGTAATTCTGTATTTTCATAATTAACAATTCAATCGTGCGAAATCTACCTGGCCGATTTGGATGAAAAAATTTCTGCAATACTACTATATCATGAAGTCCTCCGAAACAATATTTTTTCACCGATTTTTTTCGGTCTATATTGTATTGCAGCAACAATAATACACATAAAAATTTCACAAAAAGAACCTAATTTGTTTATAATGCAATTGTGCAAAAAGTATGCATCGGACAGAAACCATCTTGCGCACGATTAAACTACATATTATTATCTGTCATTTTCCGCAAGATTGTTTCTCCAGCTTTAAAGAGTGACCACAAAAATCGCCCGTTGTTTCGCAATTCGCAGAGAACTAAAGAAAATAGATAAAAATATGTTTTTGGTCTCAAATTACTCGTCGTAAAAAATTAAGATGAGCTTCGCTTTTAGTTTTTTGAAAATTTTCAAAAATCACCCTGTTTCGGGGTTGAAAAAACGCCCAAAATGAAGAATTGAATATTACCAATAAATATAAAAACTATTAGCATGTAAATTTTTCTATCGAATGATTCTTGATACAAACAAAAATTTATTCTCATGACTGAAATAAGCATGTTGAATTAGAAAATCCACCCTTAAGCGTGCTCAGGGGGTGGAATCATCCCCAAAAATAGAGGATATCAGAAATAATTGTTAAAATTGCAAAAAAATATATTAAGATAATTCATAATTCATGGTAATAATAGTTTTTATATCAAATGGTAATATTCAAATTCTTCATTTTTGGCATTTAATCAACACCTAAGTAGGGGTGATTTTTTTAAATTTTCAAAATACTAAAAGCTATACTCATTTCAGTTTTTTTTACAAGTAATTTGCGACCAAAAACATATTTTTATGTAATTTTTTAATTCTCTGCGAATTGTGAAAAAACGGGGAAAATCACAGGTTTTTTGCGGTCACTCTTTGATGGAGTTATGAATTTTTGAAAAAAGGTCTATTTTAGAGGTTTTTCCGGATTTCCTCTGTAAAAATGGAACCTATCGAGTCGCACAAAACAAACCATTTTATAGGTTTTTTATTTTCTACAAGAGTCCTATAGAGAGCAAGACGATTCCATAATTATTTTACGAGATATTATAAAAAAACCGCAAAAAAAATTTCATTTTTTTGCGGTTTTTATTGTTTAAAAAAAAATGTATCACGATTTTGCTGGGGAAATTACTTGGGTTTTCATTTAATAAGTATTTTTCAAAAGGCAATACATGAAAGAGTGACCGCAAAGTTAGCCTATTTTCTCACCCTTGCCAGAGACCTTAAAAAAAATTCTAAAAATATTCTGTATTTGTCAAATTATTGGTAATGAAAAATCAAGATGAGCACATTTTTTAGTGTTTTGAAAAAAGTCGAAAATCACCCCTAATTAGGGGTTGATATGATGACGCAAAACTGAAATGTACGAATAATATCAATAAGAAATAAAAGCAATTCTTATTGTATTTTTTTCTATAAAATAAAGTCTTACAAATAGGAAATAATTTATTTTCATGATTAATGAGGGCGTGATATAGTTGTAAGTCCACCCTTAAATTCGCTAAGGGGGTTAAATCATCCCCTAAATGCGGAAAAAATAAAAAATTACTTGAAAAATTGTGAATTGTGGTGATTTTCGACATTTTTCGAAAAACTAAAAAATATGCTCATCTTGATTTTTCATTACCAATAATTTGACATATGCAGAATATTTTTAGGACTTTTTTTAAGATTTTTGACAAAGATGAGAAAATAGGCCAAAAATATGCTGTTTTTGCGGTCGCTCTTTGCTGTAATATATTTAAGTGTCCAAAAAATCTCTGTTGGTTGGCCTAATTACTAAATAAAACATCCATCCCGTAACAGATACCGACTGGACTAAATGTATTTATAGAATTGTAAATTATGCAATTCTGGAACTATTGTAGTTGGAGATGCAAATGAACTACTATTTTGCGGTATCATTGTACATTACGCCTGCTGTTGCTCAAAAGACAAAATAATAAAACAAGGGTGTACCACAACGTAGAGTCCTAACCACTAGACGACCACAGGGACCGCCTAGCCGGGTGTCTTGGCCGGCAGATTTCGGCCTGCCGAGGCAAGCATCACGGACCCAGGCTGGAATTTGGATGGGTGACCTAAGGCAGGCTCGGGAACGTGGCTGTGGCAGCCTACCAGAGACCTGGGTCGCCCAACATTTGCCGCATGCCTGTGGTTCCCGATAAATGGTAATGAGAACAGAGCAAAGAAAATCTCTGTAACTCAAGACCATGCTATCATACATAAACTGTACGAGACTTTGCCACCAAGCCACCCGTGCAGTAAATAGGATGGTTTGAAGAAAAGTACTCGAGTAATGAAGGAGGGTGTACAAGGGGCCTAATAAGGCCTAAGTGACGCGGTGGAAAAACAATTCCACCACCTTCCGACATACATACATACAAGGGTGTACCACTTTGCTATTATTTTAAGAAAAAAACTAGACATTCTAAACATTCTATGAAATTATATCGAAATAGAAAATAGAAACAGAAAAAACATTTCTTGCAACAGACAAACCAAACTCACCTTGCAAGCCCTTCAACTCATCGACGTTCACCTTCACCGCATCGATCGGCTTCACTTCCAACATCGTCTTGACGGCGGCCTCCTCCTCCCTCAAATTCTTGTTGTCCTCCAGCACCTTCTTGGTCTTGGAATGATCGCCACCCGTCAGTAGGTCCAATAGCGAGTCGACCAAATGCGTGGCGTAATCGGAATCCTTCACGAAATCCTGCACGCTCTCCGCGTACTGTACTGCCGTGTCGGACCCGTACGTCTGGTAGACGAGATCGCTCTCCTCCTTGCTGAGATTTGAGAAGGCCGAGTCGTAGCTGGGGGCGTACGAGCCAAAAGCGCCGTAATAGAGGGGCTTGACGGGCTTGGCGATGTTCCGGCGGTCCTCCCGGAAGCCCTGGAGCTGACTGGAGCCCTCGGAGAGTTTGCCGCAGAGCTGGCCCAGCAGGACGGGGCGTTTTCTGGTGCCCGGGATGACGCCGTCCCCGCCGACTAGGACGTTGAGGTGGGTGGTGCCGTCCTTCTTTTGTTTCAGAAAGCCCATGCCCGGGCCGCCCCGTTTCAGCACTGAAAATTGGATTTTTCACTCTTTAAATTGGCGTATTCGAGTGAATATACTCTATTTATTTTCTGTGCAAAAATATTCCAAATGAACGTAATAAGCTGATAAATAAAGCCAAAACCAGGAACGTTTAGCGCATTTCGTGTACATTTTTGTTACAAATATCCAGGAATATGGTTAATTTTGCATACTGCATACTTGTACCAAGTATATTGAAAAATCTCCAGAACGAGCCCATATTTTGATGAATTTCTCTTTCAAATTCGTCGTGTATATGATTTTGCCAAATGGCGACTTCTATATTATAAAAAAACGATTCCACCCTAAATGGGACCTCCCCCCTCCGAATTAGTAACATCCTAGTCAGGATCAAGGTCAATTAGAGGCCAGATTGAGAGAAAGTGCATTAAATCAAAGTGTCTCGGTGTTTAGATTTTTATAAGTCGTTAAGGCCGAATCGGAGGTTAGTTTGTCTGTATCAGGCCATTTTAAGGATGTATCAAGGTTATTTCAAGGTCAAACTGAGAAAAAACCAAGCAATCAAGTCCCACCACATATTATACAGGATTTTGGGGTTATTGAGTTTCAATCTGAGGTCAGTTTGTTTGTATAAGGTTATTTGAAGGTCGTCTCAAGGTCATTTCAAGGTTAAGTTGAGAAAAACCAAGCAAATAAGTCTAACCGCTTGTTATACAGGTATTTGGAGTTTCTGAGTTCAAATCCAAGGCCTGTTTATCTGTGTCAGGTCATTTGAAGGTCAGTTTAAAGTTAACCCTGGAATCAATTACCATTCTTATAATCGCTGAATCCGAATTCGAGGTCCATTTATATGTATTAATAAAGGTTCAAGGTTGATTTGAGAAAAAGGACTTCTGGTAGGGTTGGTGAGAGACAATTTCAGACCCCTCAGTTTTCGCTAAAATTGTTGATACTAAAAATAGGTTATTAAAACCATTCGAGTTTAAACAGAGCTACGCAAGGTTTAGGCAAGTTCATCTTCTGAAGGAGCAGATCTTTTATCTCAAAAACTACCTATTTGACACAAAAATGACCTTGTGTTCAAATTCAGACTTCAAAAACGATAATTGATTTCTCCGTTTTTTTTTCAAATGACCTTGAAATAACCCTCAAATGACTTGATGCAAACAAATTGATCTCGGATTGGAACTCAACTATCCCAAAAACCTATCTAACAAACAGTTAGACTTAATTGCTCGGTTTTTGACCTTGAAGTGACCTTGAGACACCCTTTAAATGACATGATATAGACATACTAATCTCGGATTCTAACCCATTGACCCCAAAATCCTAACAAGTGGTTGGACTTGATTGCTCGGCTTTTTCTCAATTTGATCTTGAAATGACCTTGAAACAACCTTAAAGTGGCCCAATAAAGACAAACTAACTTCCGATTCGGAATCAGCGACCCAAAAAACCTGAATACCGAGATCTTTTGATTTAATTCCCCTTTTTTTTTCAGTCTGACCTCTAATTGACTTTGATCCTGACTAGGAAGGAGGGGGGGAGGTCCCATTTGGGTCGGAATCGATTAATTATTGGATATAAATAATGAAAAAAATAATAATTTGGACACCAAACGTATTGCATTATTGATGGAATCATGTTTGTATTCATAATTTAAATGTTACAAAAAGATATTTTACTGAAATCATTCAGTTTCCCTCGTAAAATTATGCTTTACCGACATACACATTTCTGAAACCGATTAAAAAATCACTTCTAACTGTAATTTAAGGAGGATCGGATGCTACGAAAAAATGCAGCCGATTTCGTATTATTTTTGCAACATGAAATCAAATTCTGTGAATTATCCTCGAATTATTTATCGATTTGTTACCCCGCGTCCCGCTTCACCCCCCGATCCTCGTTAAAGGAGACAAATCGAAAAGTACTCACTCAGCTTCGCCCTGGCATGCCTCGCGGCAATCTGGGACTTGGCGAGGATCTCCTCCGGGGTCAGCTCGTCGGGTATCGCCTCGAACTTCGTGGCGGGCATCCGCCTCTTACCTTCGTGGACATGGTCGCTGTCGTCGTGCTCGTCGTGGTGCTTGTGCGCCCTCATCTCGGCGGTTATCTCGAACCCGACGTCCTCGCTCGTGATCTCAGGTACCAAGTTCAGCATCCACCCTAATTTCTCCGGCACCATTATCTTCATGCCGGCCTGCAGGAGCTTCTTGCTCGCCTTGTAGTAGACAGTGTCGACGTGGTTGTATTTCATGGCGTTGGTGCACATTAACTTGAAGTCCGCTACGAATTCCTACAAAGGATAAATGAATAAAACGAATGTATAGTGCTCAAAACGCTTACGTCCAAGTGAGAGTATTGGTTTTCTTCTATTTTCTGGCGCATAGTGCTGAAATCCATGGGATTCGTGATGATGCTCGAGTAACCGGGGGCTATATTATCCGTTACAGGCCACGCGAAGAAATTTTGAGGGTCCTTCTTCTCCAACAGGCCCAATAAATGGTCCAAGCCCTTCGATAAAGGAGTGCGCTCCTGCAGTTTCTTTATAACGCAAGTCCTCAGTTCACGACCAGGACTTCCGATTTGAGGGTAAACACTTATCTCATCTAAAAATAACAGTGCTACAAACAAAGCATGGATTATTACAAACACATCCTTACCTTCCCCGTCCTCCTCCCTTTTGCGCTTCTTGTCTTTGTGGTGGTGTTTGTGCTTTTTCTCACGGTCCTTGTTCTTGTCTTTCTTCTTTTTCTTCTTCTTGGACTTCTTATGATGGGATCTGGACATGGCGAAGTAGGGATCGTTAGGGTCCAGCTGCATCTGTTGTTCTTCCATCCCCTCGCCGATCAGGGGCAGGTTCTGGTGGAAATCGGCGTTGTGTTCGGGGGTCGCCTGGGAGCCGACTTTGAGGATCAACTTTAAACCGCCCGGTTTGTCGTCCTTCTCTCGTTTTTCGCTCTTGTGTTTCTTGTGCTTCTTCACCAAGGGAGAACTAGCCGGCGACGACATTTTGACTCAGAAAAAAAAATATATAAATAAAAGCCTAACGCAGTTGTTCCGTTTTCGAGGTTAAATTGGCAACGGTTGTTTAGGGCTGCCAACCTGACTGCTTCAAATATTACCAACGGGTCGATAGTAATCACCAAATTTGAAAAGAAAACACAAAGCCAGTGTTTTTAGAAAATCTTGCTGACAAATATTGATACACATAATTTTTTATCTTTTAGTATTAATACTTACGGAGAATACACTGATTTAACGACTTTCTTGATTTGTTATTTAAATTGTTTAATAAATAATAACTAGACTTAATTAAAAAACCTGTAAAATTTATTTTTGAAATCACAGAGCACCTATGTTTGAAATATATAAGAATATGAACCAATATGAAAGGAATACAACTAAAATTACTAAAATTTATTGAAAAATAAATAAAGGAACCAATTTACTGGATATACAGGGTGTCCAATTCATGTTTCAAAAAAACTTGTGTGCAAGTTCCCCATGGGAAAATAATAGGGGTAGTTCATGTAAAGTTTTTTTCTTAGACGCCCTGTTTTCGAGACACGGTGTGTTGAAGTTGTTACTTCCAAATGGTTTTCCTTAATTATCTTTAAATCGGCTAAAGATGAAAATGTTAAAATTTGTACACGAGTAAACATCAACTGTGCGTTAAGAATAATGTGCAAACGGTTTCTTTCTGAAAAGCAGTGTCGCCGATACAGATAATTGGAGGGTACAATCGAAAAAAAAAAATTTAAATGTCAAAATTTATTACATTTCTAAACGGTACTATAAACTCTAAAGTAGACTGCAAAAAAAAGGTATACTTGTCGAAATTCGGTAGCATGTACCATTTTCGAGAAAAATGATAATCAAATAATTAGTCAATGAATGAAATAATTGATAACACTGTATTTATCAGGGAACAAAAACAGATGAGATATAAAAAATTAAAATAAAACTTTTTATCATCTGAAAAACGTAGCATTTGCAGATTTATGCTCATTCATTTTGTCAATGGAATATTGCAGTACCCTGTATTTTTGAAATTTCAAAATGTGTTGTGCTTCTTTGCTCTCTTTTTGTTAATTATATAAATAAACACAGTATTCTTATGAAATGGTTTTAATATCTTGCCAAAACTAAATCCCTTCATTTCTTCTACATATTATCAAATAATTCATTTTTTTAACTGCCTTAAACTCTTTTCTACGCCGTTACTGGGCAATTCCCAAACTCGATTTATGTGCACGCCTTTCAATGTAGTGTTGTTATCTTCTTAAACCAACTCTGTGAAGCCATCAGAGGGTATAGAGGATAGAGAGCGAAACTACAATGGAAAATAACTTTATAAAAGTATATTACTTTTATATGACCTAGCAACATGTTATTTTTAGTCATCACATTTTTTTATGTTCACAAATTAAAGCTTATTCTTTGCAGGATTTATTAAATATTAACTAAGACTGATCGTTACCAAATGTACTGTACCGAAATTTTTTTAAATAATTTCTTTCTAATTTTATAAAAAGTAATTTGATATTTGAAATATTTTTATTTTATTGCACATTCAGTTTCCCGATTTTTGCATAACGTTTTTACTGGTATCAAAATAGAATTTGTACAATAGCATTGGGATTTACCGTAAACTCGAGTTTAGTTTAAAGTGATCTTCTGTGCATTGTACAACCGTATAGTCGTTTCATTGTTTAGTGACAGTATGGTGTGTTTGTGTATCTTCATTGTAAATTTCGACCTGATATGGGAAAAAAGAAAGACTTCTGGCGGCTAGGGGATGTAGTCCGATCAAATTAGATTTTTACGTGCCAAAATAAAATTCTGTAAACAGTCACGTAAAAATTAGGAAAAACTCCGTAGAATTGAATCGACTACTTTATCCCGGCTGAATGGTAGAGCTTTATTTTCAAACTGGCGTCTAAAATTCGCAAAAAATAGTATTTTTCATTTAAAAATAAACAATTTAGAAAAAAAAAATGTTTTGGACAAAAGTTGTAGAGCAAAAATTTTGTGGCCAGCCCAATGTCAATTAATAACCAAATGTATTAGTTATTGCAAAAAAACGGCCAAAATTCGCATATTTCTAAAACTTCAATATATTTAAAACCAAGAGATTTTTTTTACGAAACTTTCAGAATCTGTAGTCCTTGACAAGTAGAATAAGTCCATATTTGTAAAATTGCGAAACATTTGATAGTTTTTGCAAAAATTGGCGTTTTCGAAAAAAATAATTTATTTTCAAGTTTCAATAAATCATACAGTAATGTATTTTCTTGACCCATCTTGGGCTTAAAATTTCCTCTACGAGTTATACTTTCCTGTGCAAATTGTGCGCGTATTGCAAAATAATTGAAAATATGCGAAAAATGTACCGAAACTTTGACTTCTTTTTTTGCATCGAAAAATGTAGATCTTTTTGTTATTGTTGAAATTTAATCAAAACGGCATTATTGCTATTTGAAAGCTGACATGTTTTCCCAGAATTTGAAATTAAAAAATGTCCTGTGACCAACAGGACCCGATAATTTTTATTTTTTTCAAAAAATCGCTACGACCTCGTTTAATAATATTAAGGTCTGAAATTTACACATATTGTTGAATGCTTCTACTTGATATAAAAAATAGTGCACAATGATTGACCTTTTTTTTTTACAGTAAACTTAATTTTGTTGGGCCCCGTAAAATGTTCGTTCTGCTCGATACGTTGATGCATGTGGTGGGGGAGAGAAAGACTGTGACTCAGTGTTGTCAGCTACTCAGTTAGTGCTTAGCATGCCTGCTCAATTTTGAAAGGTTGTTAGTTGTATGGAGCGGAGCAAGCATTTTGCGGGGTCCAAGAAAATTAAGTTTACTGTTTTGCTGAAAAAAAGAGGATCAATCACTGCGGACTATTTTTTTATATTGAAGTAAAAGCATTCAACCACATCATGTGTAAATTTCAAACTTTAATATTAATAAATGAGGTCGTAGCGATTTTTTGAAAGAAAAAAAAATAAATTTCTGTTATTCTTGTTGGAATATTTTTATTAAATTCGTGAAAAAATGTCAGATTTCAAATGGCAACAAAGCCATTCCAATTATATTTCAACGATAAAAAAAAGATCTACATTTTTCAGCCCAAAAAAAGNGCTTAAAGTAGCCTCATGTTTTGAAATGCTGTTTTTATATTGTTTACTTATAAGAGAAATGGACCGAGAAATTGAAGCGGCATAGACAAAGACGGATTGTCGGGGATTAAATTTTAGCTACCTGCTACAATTTAGTACAACCCGGTCACACAAAGTTTTTTTAAAAGTACACCTCATCTATACCGATATAACATAATATAAATATATTGAATATAAGCACCAGTACTACATTTATTTACGATTTGCATACATAATGAGCTTTTATTACTATCTTTCATTTCTAAACAGACTATAGCCCGATGTCAATTGATAACCAAATGTATTAGTTATTGCAAGAAAACAGCCAAAATTCGTATTTTTCTAAAACTTCTATATCTTTAAAACCAAAAAAATTTTTTTTACAAAATTTTCAGAATATATAGTCTTTGACAAGTAGAATAAGTGCATTTTTTTAAAATTGTAAAACATTTGATAGTTTTCGCAATAATTAGCTTTTTCAAAGAAAATAATTTTTTTTCAATAAATTATACAGTAATGCACTTACTTGACCCATCTTGGGCTTAAAATTTTCTCTAAAAGTTGTACTTTTCTGTGAAAATTTTGCGCGTATTGTAAATTTCAAACCTTAATATTAATAAATGAGGTCGTTGCGATATTTTGAAAAAAAATTTCTTGGTTATACTTGTTTTATTTTAAATTCATGAAAAAATGTCAGCTTTCAAATGGCAATAAAGCCATTCCGATTAAATTTCTACGATAAGAAAAAGATCAACATTTTTCGGCCCAAAAAAGAAGTCAAAGTTCCGGTAGATTTTTCGCATATTTCCAATTATTTTGCAATACGCGCACAATTTGCACAGGAAAGTGTAACTCTTAGAGAAAATTTTAAGCCCAAAACGGGTCACGCAAGTGCATTACTGTATTTGCAAAAACTATCAAATATTTTGCATTTTTACAAAAATGCACTTATTCTACTTGCCACGTATTAAATATTATGAAGGTTTCGTAAAAAAAATATTTTTTCGCGTTAAATATACAGGGTGTTCCACCTAAGAGGGATCCTTCTAACTTTGCAACTGTAAAATTTATAAAAAAGTGGTTTTAATAAAAGTTGTCTGGAATCATTTGGGCCACGTAAAGAAAATACAATAGCTTTACAGGGTGTTCCATTTCGCGTGGCCGCTACATAACTTTCTTATTTTAAATGGAATACCCTGTATATTATTCACATTTAATAAACTCTACCTAATATTAACCAAGGAATACTAAAATGAAATAATATACAGGGTGTTCCATTTAAAATAACAAAGTTATGTAGCGCCCACGAGAAATGGAACACCCTGTAAAGCTAAAAATATTTTTTTTACACGGCCCACATGCTTCCAGGCAACCACCATATTTTTTTTATAAATTTTACAGTAGCAGAGTTATAGAAAAATCCCTCTTAGGTGGAACACTGTATCGAAGTTTAAAAAAAACGCGATTTTAAGCCCTTTTTTTTGCAATAACTAATATATGTTTATCAACTGTCTTCGGGTTGGGCCTAAAATTTTTGTTATAAAAAGTTCAATTTTCTAAAATATTTAGTTCTTATTTTTAATGAAAAAACTGTTTTTGCAAACTTTGGACGCCATTTTGAAAATGAAGCCCTAACATTCAGCTGGGGTATAGAATTTTTCCTTATTTTTACGCATCTTTGTTTCCTGAACTAATTTTGGCAAAAAACGAGGCATTTTCGACAATTTGACTGACCTAATGAAAATAATGAGTAAAAAAAAATTAATTTTTCACAACGGAATTTGACAAAACAAATTTATGATGTGCGTTAAAAAGGTAGCTTCCATATAAATTCTGTATAACAGATAAAAACTTACTTATTTTTTTAATTGTAGTGTTGCTACAAGAAAAATGTCATTTGGAACAAACAAAAGCAACACGCCTACTTAAAACATTTATTTACAAAAATACGAAAAAATATATACATTTGAGTGCAGCTATTTGGGTATCGGGCAGGTGATATTCTTTTCGCAATTCGGGCACAACCCGACGACATCCGAGAAGAACCGCCTCGCATTCACGGACATCAACCACTGAAACAAAAAGAGCAACGTTTTTTAAGCAATTCGGAGCTTTATAATTTTTGTTAAAAATAACAGTTGCAAGTCATAACAATTTCTTTACAAAAACGTTTGGTTATTTTACCTCGTACAAACACTCGACGTGGTAGCAGTTTTCGCAAACCTTATTCTTGCAAATGACCTCCGGCAGCTTATCGTTAAGTCTAGACGAGAAGCATATGCTGCAATCGCCGCTGTTCACTAACAAGTCGGGGACGCGTTCTTCCACCGCTGGCTTCTGCGGGAAACTCTCCAAACCTACGAAAAAAATAAATGTGTTTATGTCACAATATAGGTATGTAGATCAGCAGGGACAGTTGTATTTACGTTCCAAGCCAATTTAATGCGTTTACGTTTACTATCCGTAGCATTAGCTCTGTTGTATGGTTTTGTGGGTACTTGTCCGTTGTTTTGTGGCATTTTCCTAACCTCATAATATTACTAACTATTGCAAATCATGTCCAATGTAGTGAAAATTCTAAATCGTAAGTGAATTGCGGTGTAATTTAAAAAAATGTTGAATTAATTTTTTGCGTAAAATTTATCAACAAAACAAAATTGCTTTTTTTACAACAAAATGTGATTTTTTAAGCTTCAATTTGTATGTATGGCACCAAATACAATCAAAAAGTTATGTTTTATTTAGAAAATTTTCGTTTGATACTATATGTTTTTTTGAGCCACCCTGTATACTTGAAGTTTAATTAAAAAATCCCCAACTGAAGCCAAAAATCGCCGGATTTTAGCAATTTTTGGAGGAAAAAAAAAAATGCTTGCATTTTACGAGTAAACGAATTTATTGTAACATGCTTGTAATATTTGATTGAACTGTGAGATTTCAATGAAATTTTTTTTAAGAACCCGTTTGGGTCTACCTAGGAAACTAAATGGACGATTTCAGCATGATTGCGATTGATTTCTAGCAGAAATAATTGCAGAGAGTATTAAACTCTGTTGAAAAAAACTTATTTTTCGAAATACTACGTCGAAAAATCAATAATTTCAATTTATCATCGCATTTTACAGAGATGTAACGACTACTTAGACAATATAGGCAGATCGATAGAGGCAACGGGTTAATTATTTATGAATGAAACCCACCAGCCAAACTATTTAACTTTGCTGTTTTCACATTATTGTTTCAGCTGGTATTTCCGTGAGAAACCAGTGTTCATCAAAATGTTGTAATGGTACTCAAAATATTAATTCAATTTGGGTAATTTGATTTTACAACCAAAAAAATAAGTTTAGTAAGACTAGTAGTCCACAGTACAAGCCCCCCCCTGGAAAGTTGATTACCACATACTTTGTAACTCGTGAGGAGCTTCGTTTTGACGAGTCTACCACACTTTTCCTCTGCGACTTTTCTCGATTCCTCCGCTTTTCCACTCGGAAAAGTTAAAAAATATGGCTATTTCCCGGGGTCTTGAAAAGTCAAGACCACATCTTTTATTTTTAGCTTAAGTAACTGGAAATTTTGTTGCAAATGCCGATTTAAATTTGTCCGACAGAAATTCTTCCGACATTGACGTGTCTACCGGTCGAAATATGCCAAAATTACAGGGTATTGAAAATCAATTACCACATAGGTAACTTTTAGTAAAATCAATTGTAAATAATTAATTCAGTCAAAAAGTATTGTTGTCCGACAAATTTCAAGCCGTGGTTTTTCAGTCCGAGAGCTGAAAATCGGGATTTTCACGCGGTATGATAAATCGATTACCACATATCCAATTTTAATTTTTTCCACTTTTAAATTCACTGTACAAAATAGTGATATAAGTGTCCGACGATTTAATGTCCGCAAATTATTAAAAAATCAATAAATCAATAATCGTGATGAAATTTAATTTTTTCACTTCAAAATTTTCATATTTATAAATGGTTATTAATTATTATTATGTAGATTATTATTTGTTTCAAATAAATAATTATAATATTGCTTATTTTATGCTTAAAAATTTTAGTTATAAACAAATGAAGGTATTTCTGAGACGATTAATAAATGCAAAATTCAATATATTCAAACTATTTTCTTCTACAATACTTTAAAAGTTTCCGCCTCATGTTACTTTCATGGGTAGTACCAACTGTAACAGGTTTAGTAATAAACCAGTATAGTAAATTCATGGGCAACTTAAAGTCACCACCATCCGAGCGATTCTCTTTCTATCGCGCCCCACTTCAAAGTCTTGGTGCGTATTGACATTACAAAGTGTATTTTTATATATTTTTTTGTAATAAAATCATCACATCAACATATGCATTTGAGGATCCATAGGAAAAAAAAAGGATTAGTTTATAGAGTTATAAACTGTTTCAGGCAGTTTAAAGTAATTAACTTACATACTATCTTAGTGCACTATTTCTAAATAAATTAATATTATACTTGATATAAAAATCCTCTTTTCTCTTTCAAGTCTTCATTCGCGTTTGTTATTTTTCTTTACGAAAATTTTCCTATTTTTCTAAAAGAAAATTCCAAAACTTTAGTGCATAATTTTTTTACACCATACATACTTTTTTGAAATCGTTTAATCCTATTCTCGATATTTATTTGGCTAAATTGAGCATAAGAGATTTACAATTACAAGAATAAAACGGACTGACGATTTGCGGATATATTTTTGTCGGACATTATAATTTTTAATTATAAAAAACACTTTTCTATCGTGTTATTTTTTCCGACATGTGGTAATAGATTTATCATACCCCGTGAAAATTCCGATTTCCAACTGTCGCACAGTGGGAAATATTGGAAAAAATTCTCGCCACTCGCCAATTTTCATCGTCTCGTCGTGATTTTTTTTTTAATAATCTCGTAATCTGAATTTTCATATTCCGGTGAGGTTTTTTCGAAAAACCCTTTTTTTTAATGCTTCGGGAGCGCCCCTTATGACTCTCGATGATATATCTGATGTTTTTTCTTCAAAAACCTAACTCCAAATATATCATCAAGGGTCATAATAATCAATTTTTATTAATAGCAGATACTTTTTATACATTTTTTTCGACAACTGAACATCGAGTATTTAAAAGTTTTTTCTTCGACATTGAGGTTGGGGCGGTCCCTAAGCATTAAAAAATTAAAAAAAAGGATTTTTCGAAAAAACCTCACCGGAATATGAAAATTCAGATTACGAGATTATTAAAAAAAAATCAAGGTGAGACGATGAAAATTGGCAAGTGGCGAGAATTTTTTCTAATATTTCCCACTGTGTGTCGGACTGAAAAAACGCGGCTTAAAATTTGTCGGACAGCAATACTTATTGACTCAATTAATTATTTACAATTAATTTTACTAAAAATTACCTATGTGATAATTGATTTTCAATACCCTGTTATTTTGGCATGTTTCGACCGGTAGACACGTCAATGTCGGAAGAATTTCTATCGGACAAATTTAAATCGGCATTTGCAACAAAATTTCCAGTAACTTAAGCTAAAAAAAAAGATGTGGTCTTGACTTTTCAAGACCCCGGGAAATTGCCATGTTTTTGGACTTTTCCGAGTGGAAAAGCGGAGGAATCGAGGAAAGTCGCAGAGAAAGTGTGGTAGACTCGTCAAAACGAAGCTCCTCACGAATTACAAAGTATGTGGTAATCAACTTTCCAGGGGGGGGGCTTGTACTGTGGATTACTAGTCTTACTAAACTTATTTTTTTGGTTGTAAAATCAAATTACCCAAATTGAATTAATATTTTGAGTACCATTACAACATTTTGATGAACACTGGTTTCTCACGAATATACCAGCTGAAACAATAATGTGAAAACAGCAAAGTTAAATAGTTTGGCTGGTGGGTTTCATTCATAAATAATTAACCCGTTGCCTCTACCGATCTGCCTATATTGTCTAAGTAGTCTTTACACCTCTGTAAAATGCCATGATGAATTGAAATTATTGATTTTTCAATGTAGTATTTTGAAAAATAAGTTCTTTTTCAACAGAATTAATACACTCTGCGCAATTGTTTCTGCTGGAAATCATTTGCAATCGTGCTGAAATCGTCCATTCAGTTCTCTATGTAGACCCAGAGGTCCTTAAATTACAAGCGTGTTACAATAAATTCATTTACACGTAAAATGCAAACAAGTGTTTTTCTCTCCAAAAATTGCTGATATCCGTTGATTTTTGGCTTTAGTTGGGGATTTTTTAATTAAACTTCCAGTGTACAGGGTGGCTCAAAAAACAGTGTCAAAGAAAATTTTCTAAATAAAACATAACTTTTTGATTGTATTTGGTGCCATACATACAAATTGAAGCTTAAAAAATCACATTTTGTTGTAAAAATAAACATTTTTGTTTTGATGATAAATTTTACACAAAAAATTTATTCAACATTTTTTGAAATTGTACCCGAATTCTCGTAGAAATTTAACCATATACAAAATTGAACAATTTTCTTGAAAATGTACATTATGACCAATTTATGTTGATTTCAAAAATTAAACAAAAAAATTTAGATTTTGTTTAAAAAAAATGATTCGCAATCATTTTAAAACTTTCCTTACCTAGTAGTTTCAACGTCTCCGAGAAAACGCCATTTTTCGGTTCCCATTCGCTTATATTCGAGTTCAAATTGCTGCGGTACTCCTCCACCAGCCTCTCTGGTCCCAGAAGTTTAATTTCGGGCAACCTAGATACGTCCACCGGGTTTAAAGTTATTATAACGGAAAAGTTTTCCCCTGCAAACCTAACCTCAAAATACGTAAATTATATTAATCACAAAAACTTACGTATCCAAATTCTGCGGTAACCGCAGCTCCGTTTCGGTTCCTCGGGGTCCAGAACCCAACAATTCCTGTCGAACTCATCCATCACCTCAAAAAAAGGTTGGAACGTGTCTATCGTCCCCAACAATTCATCGTAGATGTCTTTCAAACTGGCCGACTTCCTAAATTCTTCTTTATCCAGTGGTAAATCGTAAGACGTTACGCTGAATACGTTTTTGTCATCGAAGTTCGCCGATATCTCGAAAGAGTGCTCCCTCCGTCCTTGGTCCAGTGTGGAGATTCTTACTTTAGACAAGTCGTGGGCTAGGAAGCAGGATTTTATGTTCAAATAAAACCTCGTGAAGTCAGAGTATTCGTGGAGGATATGTCGGTAGACTTCGCAACGATCTATCGGTTCCGTGAACGGAATCTTAGTACTTATAAAGGTACAAATGATGTCTAAGACTGTAATAATGTTCTTAGGCTGTTCCTTTGTTATAACTGCATCGACTTCTGCTTCAAAAGATGTTAGTCGTTCAGGTAAAGTCAGTTTGAAGTTGGTATCGTTTGAATTTGTAACGCATATTTCGTAATCTTCCTCCTAGAGATGGTTTCATTAAAAAAATATGTTCAAAGTCTTAAGATTTAACTTACATTCACATGAACTGTTCCTTTGTACGTCACCGCATTCTCCGCTAAAGCTTTGGATATCAGTGGGTACTTCAGCAGCAGGGCCAAATCGGCGTCATCCATTTAAAAACTGAACAGGCATCGAAAATCCTGGAAACAACGAAATCTTTCAAAAAACTAACCTTGAACAAATGTGTAGGTTAAGTGCAGTTTGACAAACCTGACAACCAGAGCTACCAACCGCGATCGTGAAGTGCCGCCACCTTCAACTGCAAAAAAGAACTATGCGCAACGGAACAATGACAATGAAGAAGAGTTGTTTAACCGCCAATACCCGAGTCGCAAACTTGTGAGAGTACAAGTGACGTCACAAGTTAGGGTCTCAGGGACGTGGCGATTTAACCCCAAGTTTTTTATTTATTGCAAGACAAATACAGGATTAACAGAACGGATGTACACACACTTAAAATAAGCGTAGGGTATGGGACAGTTACATACATAGTCCAATAGTTGATATTTGTCGGTTGAAAATTGAATTAGAACAATTTCAAACAAGCAAGGTATGTATAGTCCGTTCACATGACACTGTCACACATAAATATTTATAATTATTACACGACACAAATGGATGAATATACACTGTATATTATTATCTATAATTCACTAAGTTATAAGTACCTACCACAAAATATATTCTGTATTTATCTGATATAAATAGTTAAGTGTTTGGAGATTGAATTGAACCGTTTTAATAATTAAATGATAAAGTTGGTCTTCATTAATAATAAATTTTGACGAGATCACAATGTTGTACTAACAATTTCATGCGTCCTGCTTAAGTTTAACGTTCTCTAAACTAATTTGTTTTATATAAGACAAAGAAAAGGTACAGGTTGAGGTTTTTTAACTACAATTTCACATCTAACTTGATTTCCTACAACTTTATAATTACAACAAATACATTTACACGAGAATCGGCATCGTGAAATTTATTAAAACAAAAAAAAAAAGGATGTTCCAGTAACTTTTCATCCATGTAAATGTATCTAGTTGACCTACAATCTAAAAATAACAAACACCAAACGGGTATACTTTCGCATAAAGAAAACGGTACAATTCCGACGACAGCGACGAATTGGACTGAGATCAGGAAAGTTAGCAGGCTGTACAGTACTCCATAACGGTGTAATACTTACTATACAACCTACTACCTCACATGAAACCCAACCATTTGCGGTGAGACGCTCCCTTTCCTCTCCGGACTTCCTCTGCTGGGGACCTCGCTCCTGATTGGATGCTTCCACCAGAAGGTACCTGTAAAAACGAACTCGTGATGGCAGATTTAAACACAAGTTCGGATCTACGGGTTCGTTCAAGTGAAAAAGGGGCCCGACTGAAACTGAAAAACCTGAAAACTGCTCATGGCGGTCATGGGTTTCGAACTAAACTAATTCAGTTTTATTGAATTTTGTTGTACCCTTTAGGAATCGAAAATACACTTCAAATAGTATAAAAAGAAATGTAAATTTGTATTTGGTTTGCGTTTACTATTCGATCCGTTATCGCGAACACGCCTTTTCAAATAGCATCGCGAATGGACAGTAGTTGGAACAACAGCGAGGCGCTGTCGAGTTCTGTTTCCATGGTAACCAGAGCAACTAACAACCGCATCCTTATTTCGAATAGTTGAAACTCTCAACGACTTTCTAACATACGCTGTTGCAACGGTTGTGACATTAATTCTACATTCTCGGTTTAGTTTGACGTTTATGACATTTTTATTCGAGTCTGGAGGGCTTCTTTCCGTCTAGCTTTTTGACGGGTCTTTCTTCTTGAATTGTCAATGTAAAATAGGGAAGTGCACACGTCATACTTAATTTTAAGGATTTTCTGCGTCTGTAAACTTTGAATTCTCGAACACGTCGCGTAAAGTATTTTTTATGTGACACATTATTACCTCAGACATCTTTCTGTTGGCGTTTGATTTGTACTGGGAGAGGGAGGGGGGACGCGAGAGGTCGACCTTTATAGGCACAATAAAATTCGCAAAAATGTGAAACGGAATTTATCATTTGGGCTATTTTTAGAGGTAGGTTATTACGGCGTAACAGTAGCTGTCGAGATCGGTCGTTTCCTCAAGATTGGACCGCGAATTTATCAATTGCCGGAGTTCTAGATATATGAGCACAGCCTCAAGCGTTTTTATGTACAGGGCGTTCGGAAGATAGTACAATTTTGATACGTTCGTGAATTTAAAAACAAAACTCAAAAATGTGGCATCCAATTTCTACAGTATGTATTTTTGGAAATCTTATCTGCGAATAGAATTTTAACGTCCCTATACGAAAAAAAGTAAGAAAGGCCACATGTTCACAGAATACCGTAAGTAAGTGGCAAATGTACGTGTTTTTTCACTTTTTTTTACTGCCCACGAAAATCTAAGCAATTAAATTACCTACAATTTAAGGTATCTAAAGTCATATTTCATCAATTTGTTGACTGTAAAGTAAGGGTTGAACGCAAAAAATCAGTTTTCAAAAATTGCGCATTATTATTGCAAAAAGCGATGGATGTTGATGAAATTTATGGAAAAGACAGTTAATCCAAAGACCAACATGTGTTCCAAAGGTCCATTCGATTGACCTTGAAATTCTTGCTCCAGGTATTTGTTAATTAATTTCGTTCGTTTTTCTTGCAACTAATTGTTTAATTACTAAACGTTAATTTTAGAAGTTACTATCCTAGACATAGGTTCTAATTGATCCAAAAAAACGTATCGAAAAAGAAAAATTTCAAAAAGTTGAAATAAAGTTGCCTTTTATACTAGCAAGGTCCCAGGGTCAGGAAAAAGCCGCTCGGGAATTCGCTCTTTTTGCATTAAATAGAGCTTATTTTTGCAGTAATTAAAATAAAGAGAAATCGCCTACGCATCGTTGTTCCTATAATAGCTTTTTTTTATAATGTTAATTGTTAATTAACTATTGGACGTATCGCACCGGGATTTTAGAGACAATTGAAGAAAAGGTTAACTTTTATTTTCAGGTTCTACATTGACAGTTCATGTAATAAATGAGCTAGCTGCAATAAAAGTTAACGTTAATGAATGGTTTATATAAACAGGTTCGATAATGCTTCGTTGTTAACATACAGGGTGTCGAACTTTTTTATACAAAATCGTTTTTTCATAAAAAACTTAATTTTTTAGCCGATTTTGTCGCAATTTGGCTAATTGAATTCAATATGAAAGGGACTAATTTACCCCCCAACTAGTTTAAAATTATTAAATCCAGTGGCGTCCCGGGGGCACCCTAAGTATTATTTTTGACAAAAAAATGTGCGCCACTGACTTTTTAAAAACTTTTATACTTTTATCGCATTGAGCAAATAAAAATGCAACTTTTTGTCCCTTGAATTTTTTTCGTGTCTTGCTTTCCTTTTGGAGAAAAAAAAATAAAAATCACTTTATTGCATGTCCCTGGGACAACATATTATTTCTAAGACTAGAGTAGAATATTGAAAAAAATAACAGGCAAATTTTTTATTATGTTGTTCCGGGCATATGAAATAAAGTGATTTTTATTTTTTTCCCCAAAAAGGAGACAAGATACGAACCAAACTCAAGAGACAAAAAAGTTGTATTTTTAGTAAAAAATTAGGTATAAAAGTTTTAAAAAGTCGGTGTCGCACATTTTTTTTATATCAAAAATATTGGTCATGTGTCCCCCGGGACGCCACTGGAATTAATAATTTTAATCTAGTTAGGACTAAATTAGCCTCTTTCTGCCATAAATGACACCGCCTTTCAACAAAGTCGGCTGAAGGAATAGGTATTAAGATTTTTACGAAAAAACGATGATTTAAAAAGTTTGTACCTTGAAAACGAAGCATTTACTCGATCGATGTTTATATAAACTTTTCGACTTAGAATCACTGAAAGAATGACCCCTTGGAGTTTGGGCACGTACTTAAATAACAGCATTTATATATGAAAAATTTGAATTATTTTAATAAAATCATCGCACCATTCTAAATATATAAAAATGACTAAGAAAGTGAATGAATAATGTAGTCTGCTCCGAAATCGGAAGTATGGCATTGGCAGCGACGATCTTTCTGTAGATCTGAAATGTATAATTTTGTTATAATATTATTTTCATCATTAAGATTTATTTCGGCAAAATATGTCTGGAAAAATATTTTTGTTTTAGAACAAAACAGCCTTTCATACAGCTGTTATATTCATTTTCAATAATGACCGATTATTTTTGAAAATTTATTTTTATTTCAATTGAGTGGAGACAAGGCAATATCTTTTTATTCCCAATCGAGTCTGATATTACTCTATACGAGTAACCATTTTCGAGATATTCACCTTTAAAGTCTCAAAATGATTGGAAACCACTTCCAATAGTTGTTACAGAAAATGAAACACTTTTTTTTAATAATTGTTGATTTTTTATATGCTGTTATTCGTTTCGTTGTATCTCATTTTTTTTTATTTAAAAAAGTATGTTCCCTTTCTTTCATGTAAGCAGTTGAATTTAATAATTCAAAGAAATATCTAAAAAAAAAATAATTTCATAATACGGTTCACTCTCGATAGTCCTTTTTAGTAATGACGTCACATACGCCAAATAATAGGCAACCCGATAGTGAACATTGTCATAAAGAATTTATTAATATTTTTAGTAGATCGATAAGTGCCAAAAAATAGCTTCTTTGTCATGACCTTTAATATTGCGATATTCTGGCAATATTAGAAATACATATCTAAGAAGTTTCAAACCTCAAGTGACAAACTAAAAGAATTATGGAATTTATATATTTATATTTATTTTATAGAACAATATTGACTTTTATAGTAATTAATAAATTAAAATTATATCAATGTTACTGAGAATGCGCATTAAAGTTGTAANAACACTTTTTTTTAATAATTGTTGATTTTTTATATGCTGTTATTCGTTTCGTTGTATCTCATTTTTTTTATTTAAAAAAGTATGTTCCCTTTCTTTCATGTAAGTAGTTGAATTTAATAATGCAAAGAAAAATCTAAAAAAAAAAATAATTTCATAATACGGTTCACTCTCGATAGTCCTTTTTAGTAATGACGTCACATCGCCAAATAATAGGCAACCCTATAGTGAACA